CCTCCCCCTCCACACCCGCGCGCCTCCCTCCCAAACCAACCTTGCGGTAAATCCGCACGAGCTGGTCGACTGCCACCCAGCTGCGCAGCTTCACGTAAAACAGCCCCACAGCCACCAGCAGCGCCAGCCGAAAGACTCGCCGCCGCGCCAGCCGCCGCCGCGCCCGCTGCCTCTGCTCTTCAGACAGGCCCGCCACCGGGCCGCCGGCGCCGGCGGCAAGCGATGAGTCATCCAGGTCCACGGGGATCAGCAAGTCGTACAGCGCCATCGTGCCGACCACGGTGATCCCGATCTCTTTTGACAGGGCAGCCAGCCAGGCCAGCGCCACCGCGCCGCCAAATTTCGCCCAATGCAGCGACGGCTCGCCTGCCGACAGCACTAGCCGCCGCACGCCGGCACCGAAAACCGCGGCGGTTGGCGCGGGCTTCGACGCCGCGGCGGGCGCTCGGCTTTGGCCGTGCTTGCCGCCAGCGCCGCCGCCGTTGCAGGACCCCTGCCGCGAGTGGCGCCGTTTTTCGTTCTGCCCGCTGGCTGCGCTGCCGGCGCCGCCGTCCGGCTGCGCGGTCGCCTCGACGTCGCCCGGGACGCTGTCGGCGGCGTCGCAGTACAGCAGAAGGGCGCAGATGGAGAGCAGCGCACACCACAGCTCGGCCTGCCCCACGATGCCGCCGACCGCCTGCGCGGCACAACGCAACACTCGGGTGCTTAGCCACGGCGTTCAATTGTGCAGCCTGAGCAGCGGCGTGCAAGGCCACTAACGAGCACGCCTAGTGCCGCTTGATGACATCACTCGACCCCGCACATTGGAACCTAGTGCAGCGAGGGCCTGTGTTTCAGATATTGGCGCATCATGCGCGCGCCGCTTCGCACCTCTGTGTGGACCGGGTGCAGCGCAAACAGGAGCCCAGCCAGCGCCGCCTGAACCTGGGTGCGCCAGCTGCCAGCCAAGCCCCACGTCACCCCGGCCCCGGCCCCGGGCGGGCCGCCGCGCCCCGCCCCCTTGAGGAGCGCCGCATCCAGCGCCTGCTGCGCTGCCTGCCCGCCGCCGCCGCCGCCGGCGCCCCGCCGCTGCCTGACCCCAGCGCCCGAGGCCGCCCCCGCCGCCGGCGCCGCTGCCGCTGCTGAGGCCCCGTCGCCCGCAGCCACGTCTTTGCCGGCCGCAGCGGCAGCCTGCGGCTCCGCCACCGGCGATGCCAGTGGCTGCCCGCCATGCTCATCACGACCGCAGTGCGCCGTCATCGCCTCCAGCCGGGCCAGCAGCCGGCTGCACAGCACGGCCACCAGGCCACTGACTAATGAATGCAGGGCCACATTTACCAAGTGAAAGGGCAGCGGGTGCAGGCCTGCAGGGGGTCGAAAAGGGGGATGCTGCCATCGGGATGGGCGAGGTTGTGTGCGTGCTGCTGCTGCTGCTGCTGCTGCTGCTGCTGCCGCCGCCGCCGCCGCCGCCGCCGCCGCTGCTGCTGCTGCTGCTGCTGCTGCTGCTGCTGCTGCTTGTGATGATGATGACTGTGAAGCCAGTTCTGCCCAGCACAGACTAATGGCCCCAACCTACGGCCTCAACCTATGATAATTCCCGGCTGCCCACCTTCTGGGAGCGACGGCTTCTTGCCAGCTCCCCGCTCCAAGCCTTCCGCCGCCGCCGCTGCCTCCGCAGCTTCTGACGGCGACACCGGCGGGGGCAGCGCAGCCAGCGGCGGCACCACCCACGTCAGCAGCACCCAGCCTTGGCGCGTTAGGCGGTACGCTAGGACAGTGAGCGGGCGGTACGACTTGTGGCTGTGCTTGCTGCTGATGGCTTGGCCCCTGGGGCGCGACATCAATAGGGGCGCGGGCGGTAGCAGGCGGCCGGGGAGGGCACCAGTGAGGGGGGGCGGAAGCTGCTGCAGCTGTTGAAGTATGTGTGTGAGGATGTCTTGCCGTTCAAATACCAACGACTGCATCATGTCGATCGATTCAATCCGGGCAGGCCAGGCAGCACGCCGCTGCCGCTGCCTTGCGCATCTTGGCAGCCAAGCAAGCGCGACAAGCCGACAACGGCTTCCCACCAAAAGTCGTGCTTGAGGAGCTCAAGCAGCGGCGTTGCGTCGTTCGTGACGTCGGCATTTCCAATCTGCGGGGTGGCAGTCACCTCATTTGGCGCCTGCACCCGCACTGACGGTCTGTGCGCCCATGCGGCTGCGCACGGTCCGGCCTATGATGGGCAACGAGTGCAAGCGGCCGCTGATCCGGGTGGCCACCCACCACCGCAAAATTGTCATCAAACGTGAAGCCAGCAGGGATGGTGTTGACGTACGCCAGTGCGGCGATGGCACAAATTGCCCAGATCGCCGGTATCGAACGCATGACTGTTCAAAGTTGATACATTAGAAGACGACTACATCGAGAAGGCCAAATGAGATACAAAAGGCTCATCAGCGTCAAGAAAGCCGTTGCAATGTCACACCCCGGTGACGAAGGGGTATCGTGCAGCTTAAATGCTATAGATGATATCAATAGGCCAGCCACGTGGAATTAAGCCTTATAAGATGCATGATATGGTCGATCACAACAAGTATCGCTGTCTGTGTGATCATTGTGTCTGAGAAAAGTGTGCACGAAAGTGCCTGTAGATCAAGGACAAAGCAGTTGAACTTATACAGAACGCCAAGGCGCGGAGCGCAGGGGGAAGAGGGCAGCAAAGCACTGCGGTGCGCAGCGCCGCGCACTGCCGCAGCTGCTCCCGCCTTGTCGCCATGGCGGGTGCGGCGGGGGCCAGGCGCAGGGCCGAGTTCAACTTCTACCTCAGCTGCGACATCAACCTGCAGGTGGGATGGGTGGTAAAACCAGCAAGTAGGTCTCTGTAGATGCTGCAAGTGCACGCCTGCACTGCTCGCGCTGCTGTGTCAACTCGATGGCGTCGCGCCCGCCATGCCACACGCGCAGGTCCAGCTGCGCGTGAGCGGCCTCTACGGCCTCCTGCCCGCCTTCCGAGCGCCCGCCGCCTCCGTTTGCACCAGCGGCGGCCCCGGCCTTGCCGGCCCGGCGGGCCCAGGGCCGTCGGCGGCGGCCGCGGCGTTTATTGTCGCGCGGCTCGTGGCGGGCGCGGAGGAGCTGGGGATCGAAACGAAGACCACATACGCCGAGGCTTCCCTCGCCGGCTGCAGCTGGGACGAGCATCTCACGCTGTGCCTGAAGGTCGGCTTCGCCGCGGCGACGCTCACTCCTTGTTTGTATTGCTGCCGCACGCGCGCGCGCCCGTCGCCCCAGATCCGTCGCCCCGGCCGCCGCGGCCCAGTGGGCATGCACGCACTCTGGCCGCTCACGGGGCCTGCGGCGCACGGCCGGGGCCTCTCTTTCAACATGCCCCCCTTACCTACCCGCACCATACGCATCGTTCATGCGCCTGCAGTACCGCGACCTGCCTTGCGATGCCCATCTGGTGCTGGGCGTCTGGCAGGTGGGTGGGGCGAGGGCATCAACAGCGGCAGACAGAGGCGCCAACGCTCGCCGTGCGGCCATCGGTCTTGCTGCAGCTGCCACCGCCAGCAGCCGTCGATTCATCGCCCGCGTCACACGCGTCCGCGCCCATGCACGGCCGCGCGAGCGGCTCACGTGGGGCCAAGGGGCTCTCCCCGCCGCCTGCTCGTGCCCACGTGCGCAGGTGGCTGAAGGGCGGGGCGCCGCCTTGGTGGGGTCTGCGGCGCTGCCCCTGTTCAGCAAGAAGGGCCGCCTCAAAACGGGCCCGCAGCAGCTGAAGGTGCATGAGGGCGCAGACGTCCTGCTGGGCGCCAGCGGCGGCGGGGGCGGCGGCAGCGGCGCTGCCAGCAGCAGCGGCGGCGGCGCGCTCCCCGCGTCAGAACCCGGCCCAGCCGGGCGCCGCGGCGCGCCTTTGCTGCTGCCCGCGGCCCTGCTGGCCGGCAAGCCTCGGCTGGGGGCGCGGGGGGAGGTGGCGCAGCTGTCCCACCTGGCGGCGCTATACGCGCGCGGGGACATACAGCGGTGCGGCTGGCTGGACGCGCTGACGTCACAGGTGCGCCGCGAGGCGGAAGCCACCGGCTTTCAATAGCATCGACCGGGTCAGCCAATGGCCAGGGGTACCATGAGTGCGCACCGCTTGAAGGACAGTCGGTTCGTGTAGCTGACCCTGCACTTCCAGTTGTCTCGGTGGTGGGGCTGCCTTCCGCAATTCCAGTGCACCGATCGGCTTGAAATCATGCATACAGCCACTCTCTGCAGCCACGGCATCCGTGCCGCGGCGCCCCCTCGGCCGCCTGCGCGGCGCGCTCCAGCCGACTTCACCTCCCCCCCTCCACTCGCCACGCCCCGGTCCCCCCACCCCCGCCGCCCCAAGGAGCTGGCGCGTGTCCAGTCCTCCGACCTCACAGCCGCGTGCGGCGCCTGCGACCTGCGCTTGTGTGTGGAGATGCCAGCGTTCCCGCACGCGGTGCTTTACCAGCAGCTGCCCAGCCTGGCCGCTGTCGTCGCCGCCGCCGCCAAGAAGGACGGCGCCGCAGGCGGCGCGGCCGGCGGCAGCGTCGGGGGCGGGGTCGCGGCAGGGGTCGG